TCACTCTTTGTTATGGCATAAACCGATGTTTCTTACACAAACTTAGATGTTGATGAATGTTCCCCAGAGTACCAGAATTCCACTTGCACTGAGTCACAAATGTGTATCAACACCTACGGAGGCTACCGATGTCAGTGTAAACCTGGATTTGAAAATCTCTGTGGACCAGTCTTCGATGGTGAGCTTGAGAGTAGCAATTAATGCCGTTGTCAGTAGACTGGGGACATACTCACAGACTTAGTTTAAGAAAGTCAATGCAAACAAAAAAACCTAAGACCAGTTCTGACATAGCTATTTTTGCAAGTCATTGACTGCACTATTAATCCACCAGCTATCTTTTCAAGATGTCCCGAATGCATTGAGACTGCCTATTGTGATGCCTTGACTAATTTTACCTGTCAGTGCATGGAGCAATCTGCCCCGGATGCCAATGGAGGAGAGTGTCCAGGTAAACTGTAAACTTATGTAAATTATTTTATCATGCTAACTACAAGTTGGAGATGGTGGAGCCCAGTAATTTCCACACTACCTAGAGATGTTAGGCTGTTTCAAAGCATTGTTCCTGTTCTACAGAGTGCCAAAGTGGGACATACACCATTCGAAACCGTCCCTGTGAGCCCTGTCCAGCAAACAGCGACTCCCACGAGGCAGGTCTCGCTGAATGCTCGTGTCTCCATGGATACTACAGAGCTCCTTTAGACTCAGTCCACGATCACTGCACAAGTTAGTCATCTTAGCACTTGCTGCTTTGTAACGCAAATGCAATGTTTTGTTTTTTCTTTAGCCTCTCCCTCATCGCCCCGGACACTGATGTCACAAAATGTCACAAACACATCAGTAGTCATCTCCTGGCTCAAACCAGTACACCTTGGTGGGAGAGGTGCCAATGAGCTGTTTTACGTCATCATTGTCACTGGTATAATTATAACGGTATGATTGTTGTGCTCAATCTTGCTAGGTAATTTAATCATACAGGAACTAGATTATACACTATTCCAAGCACATGGTAATAGTATGATGGTTGTGTTCAATGTTGCTAGCTTACTGGAGGGAGGTATGCTATATACATAAATGCTATGACAATAGACAGCAACTAGCCCAGAATACTTTGAGGGCCCTAGGGTGTAGTACAAAAAGAGAGAGATGCAAGCATAACAGTGATCAAGCAAAGGACACAGTACTTGTGTAATACTTAGTCCAAATAAGCAACAGGTCTTCATGGAAGGTGCCTGCATGGTCTAGGGGGCAGCCGTAGGTTAGCATCTGCAGAAACGGTGCTTTGTCTATAATTATAGCTATATACCTTACATGAACTGTAGACTTTTGTGTAGTTGCGTCATTTGTGTTTATTCTGTCTGATGAGTTCGGTGTTAGTTTATACAATTTTTTATACATAGCAAATACATAATAATTAGGTTGTTGTTATGAGCCTGCCTTCTAAACTGTCCTGGTTGCTAAGTTGGTAGTAGATAGCAGTTTTTCTTGGGTTTCTATCCGGTCCAGCATATATATCTCTAGTTGTGACTTTTCCTTGTTGCCTTCTGACCTCATTGACAGGCCCAGCCTCCTCCAGCTTCTTTGACGGCTGTTTTTTGACACGTCTCTGCCTCTGTGGGGTCAAGAATTCAGGGGTGGGGGCATGTCGTGTGAAATGTTGTACGTGTAGTCAATGTAATCAGAGGAATTTGGCTCCAGGTGTTGCTTTTAGGAACTTTATCACCACTTGCGTATATACTAACCACACACGGTCAATGTTCTTTATAGACAATAAACAAAAGGCTATAGAGCAGGAGTTATAAAGTTATTTTGCTCTGATAGAATACCATAATAATTATTTTGTGTAAAATTATCACCATTGGGAATTATAAAGTGGCTATTTAATTGTTTGTCAGTCGTTTACTGTATAAGAATGAAGGACAAGTTTAATAATATTATTCTACTGGTATTAATCTATTGCAGTTGGGGGTACAGTGAGGTTTCCTAACAGCTCAAGTGTCTACCTCAACCAGCTAGTGTGGGCTTCCCCTGACCCTCCCCAAGGAGACATCATTCATTACAACATCAGGATCACCAGTGCTGACAGTGACGAGGATATTCTGGCACTGGTGGAGGGGGTTAGGGATGCTTTCTTGGATGTGAGAGCGCATGTTCCTTCCAGTGGAGACTACCTGATTGAGGTAAGTAAAAGCCTACCATTATATCAATACAAACTCCGGGGACCATCAAAATGAATATTGTTAACCCTCTGCGCGCATGCGCAGCGAGGGTACCGTAGTTGCGTCTGTCTGTGTGTCTGTTACTCTACATCTCACCTCTCGAATGTCTGTTCGTCCCAGAAACGATACCATCTACCCAACGGGCGACGAAGGTCAGAAATATGTGGGGTTTTCTCTGAAAATGCTCCGTTGCAGAGCTAGAGCGCTTCCAGCATTGTATGGCTAATATCCATTTTATCGCTGGTGGATAATGCACATGAGCGCGCGCATGCGCTTATATTTAGCCTCGACAGGTGTCGCGGTACATTTCATCCCCCCGCATTTTACCCGGCCGGATAGGATATTCTATCCCCCCTGGATAAAATTTCCTAGGATATTCTATCCGCACCCGGGATATTTTATACCCCGTGCTGTGCGTTATTAGGAGTGTCGAAATGCAGGCGGGGTGTGTTGTTTTGAGGTTCTGTGGGGGATTTCAACGTTAAAGACAGCCTTGTTTGGAGTTACACTGTAGAACGCTACCGGATATCCCAGCGAGTGTGGGGCTCAGGTTCGCAGGTGAAGGCGAGCAGACCCGCGCAACCGCTGTGTCTCGAAGAGAAAGAGAGTGCAGTCGTGCAGATTCAGCTCGGTATGAGCAGCGACGGCGCCAACAGAATGGTCCCGCGCGTTTAGATGCGCAACCGTATGCGCAGAAACTTTTGTTATTAGAGGGATAAAATATCCGGACCACACTAAGAGTATTCTATCCGGCCGGATAGAATATACTATCCCCCGGATAAAATATACGGGGGATAAAATATACTGTGACCGGGTCCGCTTGCTCTGTCTATCTTGAAGGCACAAGAAGTCACAACGAATGGCGTGTATCGACTCTCGCGTGCTATCTACTACTGTAGCTAGCCCGTGTCAGACTCTCTGCGAGCGGTTTGCACTTTAGTGCTTTTCATTAACCCTCGGCGCGCATGCGCAGCGAGGGTTACGGGTTTGTCTGTCTGTAACTCTCAATCTCACTTAACGGGTGTTTGTTCGTCTCACAAAGGATACGACAAGGATACGACCTACTTAACGTGCAATGAAGGTCAGAAAATAAAGGCGGTTTTCTCTGAAAATGCTCCGTTGCAAAGCTAGAGCGCATCCGGCATTGTACGGCTAATGCCGGTAGACGCCATTTTATCGCTCCGGAAAATGCGCATGCGCTTATATTCAGCACAGGCTTACCTCGACCGGGTCCGCTTGCTCTGTGTATCTTGAAGGCACAATAAGGCACAACGAATGGCGTGTATCGACTCTCGCATGCTATCTATTGCTGTAGCTAGCCCGTGTCAGACTCTCTGGGAGCTACTAGAGGGAGACCGCGTGTAAACGCACACTAATGGCCCAGCCCATTAATTAACGGTACTGCGCATTTGCAGTTCGCCGAGGGTTTCCACTTTAGTGCTTTTTGTTACCCTCGGCGCGCATGCGCAGCGAGGGTACTGTAGTTGGGTTTGTCTGTCTGTTACTCTCAATCTCACTTCTCGAATGTCTGTTCGTCTCACAAACGATACGACCTACTTAACGGGCAATGAAGGTCAGAAAATAAAGGCGGTTTTCTGAAAATGCTTCGTTGCAAAGCTAGAGCGCTTCCGCCATTGTACGGCTAATGCTAGTCAGCCATTTTTATCGCTGCGGAAAATGCGCATGCGCTTATATTTTGTACAGGCTCGGGTCCGCTTGCTCTGTGTATCTTGAAGGCACGAGAAGTCACAACGAAGGGCGTGTATCGACTCCCACTACTGTAGCTAGCCCGTGTCAGACGCTACTAGCGGGAGACCACGAGTATACTACATACTAATAGCAGCCCAGCCCATCAATTAGCGGTACCGCGCATGCCCAGTTCGCCGAGGGTTTGCACTTTAGTGCTTTTCATTACCCTCGGCGCGCATGCGCAGCGAGGGTACTGCAGTTGGATTTGTCTGTCTGTATGTCTGTCTGTCTGTTACTCTCAATCTCACTTCTGGAGTGTTTGTTCGTCTCACAAACGATACGACCTACCTAACGGGCGACGAAGATCAGAAAATAAAGGCAGTTTTCTCGGAAAACGCCCCGTTGCAAAGCTACAGCGCTTCCACCATTGTACGGCTAATACGTTGTCGGCCATTTTTGTCACTGCGGAAAACGCGCATGCGCTTATATTTTCAACAGCCTAGAGCGTTCTGTGTATCTTGAAGGCACAAGAAGTCACAACGAAGGGCGTGTATCGACTCTCGCATGCTATCTACTACTGTAGCTAGCCCATGTCAGACTCTCTGCGAGCTACTAGCGGGAGACCACGAGTAAACGCATACTAATACCAGCCCAGCCCAGCCCGGCCCATCAATTAGTGGTACCGCGCATGCCCAGTTCGCCGAGGGTTTGCACTAATTACCCTCGCTCTGCTTTACTACCGAAGGTGAGACAGAGAGAGTTATAATGATTTTAACCTGTGTATGCTTTCACTATACAAAGATACAAGCAAAGAAAGATGAAGAAAAGAAGTTAGTCATTTTAAGCCCACTATCCATGAACCATTCTGTGTCATTCGGGGTCTCATTGTCATCTGTATTTTTTGCTTCTAACAGGATACAGGGAGACCATTGCCAACAGCCAGTAAGTAGCCTACAAACCTTGTAATACACACATTCAATCTGTTGCAATATCCCTATTTGTAGTGGTCAGCTACATCAATCTACTACCGATCTCGTCACAACAGGTAGCTGTATACTTGCTTGAGACTTAAAAGCATTAATAAATTGTATGTTATAGATGATTCAGAAGTCTGGCAACAATTGGATGCCTTGTCTCAGCAAAGAGAAAGAACTAAGAGCAACAAATACATATTTGGATCAAACATAGGTTTGTTGCCATGCACTTATGCTCCAGCCAATGATGACCTTCCTTATCTGTGTGTTGGTTTGTCTGACTGTCTGTCTGGTTTTTGTGAATTTGTTCACACACTACTCTGGGTGTCAGTGGAAAATTCAGCCTTATCTCAACTGGAGAGTCTTTCTCAGCACATACCAAAAGAGATACTTTTCACCCAAGACAATATCCAACTCTCAAATGTGATTGGAGAAGGTCTGTATGTTTGATTACTGGAATGAATGCAGAAAAGTTTTGCCGATCAAACGCAACTATTCATGTGCCTATTTAGAATCACATCAAGAATTACTGTGTGTGCATTGCCTGTCACACACATTAAAAGAACAATAATCCTGCATTTTCTCGTGGACTAGTTTTGAACTGCACTAGCCTGGTGGTAATTGTGATACAGGTGAAGCTACCATTGTGTTCTTTTGCAGGTGAATTTGGACAGGTGTACAAAGGCTATATGAAGACAAAGTACAAAACAGATGTGGTGGCTGTTAAGACTTTGAGAGGTACTCTTTGCAAACATGAGTTAGCAATAAGGCAAAACATTTTTTGTGTTGTTTGTCTGTTCCGCAGCTCTGAGTTCAGCGTGTGAGGTGAAACTGCTCATGAAAGAGATAGTGAAAATGGTCAACTTTGACCACCCCAATGTGATGACCCTGACTGGAGTCATCCTAGTGGAGGGTGGAGCTCCTCTCCTTGTCATGCCCTACATGGTGAAGGGAACTCTCCTCACATACGTCCGTGAGAACAAGGACCAGTTCTTTGTGGAAGATGAATCTGAAAACTTACATCAGGTAGGTATCACCTTATTGGTATCAATTATACACTATTGATCTGTTTTTTGCAAGCCACAAACCCAGTTTAGAGCATTGAATGATGATATGTTTGCTTGGTTACTTGACAGGTGGATGAGACTTCAAAAACTCTCACTGAATTCTCGCGACAAATTGCACTTGGAATGCAATACCTGGCAAAGAACAAGGTTGTACATCGTGATCTGGCAGCAAGGAACTGTCTGTAAGTAGCTAGATGTTTTTCTATTCCTCCTATATATGTGCTCATTGAATCATTTTTGTGTGCAGGCTGGACATGTGTGGGACTGTCAAAGTGGCTGACTTTGGTCTGTCAGAGGACATGTATTCCACCAACTACTTTCGTCAGGGAAAAAGCAGTGTTGATGCAGTTGAGACAAAAGTACCCATCAGGTGGATGCCTCTTGAGAGCATTGAGGAGGGCCTTTATAACGAGAAAAGTGATGTGGTAAGAGCACTAGTACGAAAAAGCATCCAGCAGTTTGCTAGCATTGGTTCCACATCTGAATCATAGGCACATGAGCACTGGCACTGATATAATGGGTGCAATGCTTCTTTGCTTCATCTGAAATCCGAAAATTGTGAACGACATTTCCCCCTCAACAGTTCTTTTATGCTCTCTCAATATACAGTGGTCGTATGGAGTGACAGTGTGGGAGATATTCACATGTGGGAAGGTTCCCTACCATGGCATCAGCTGCATGGCTCTCCCTCGTCTCCTCCGTGCTGGAGAACACCTCGAGAAAGCCCTACAACACCGCCTGCTCCGATGACATGTAAAGCGGCTACCCATCACAGCGTCGGCTGTCAACCGACGGAGATCGGACACGCGAGTGAAATCTCACGTGATCCGCGTACAAAACGAAACTCGTCGAGCAAAGCCAAGTCAAAATCACAAACAGGCCCATATTACCCTACTTCAATGCCTCTACTTCTCCACGCATTACCCGTTTTCGTGTCTTCGTCCTCAGCTATCTCCTTACCAAGTAGCTATAATATAGTGCTTGTGAGCGCACATCGAGCGATCATTTTTTCTCCTACGTCTCTTTTCACGGAAGACCAGTGAACGACGCCATTTTCTGCCAACTAAGCATGCGCGTTGTCTCAATCCGTGGCTCCGCGAGACTAGTGCGCGCCCTGGGCGAAACTTAGCCTTTCTCCTGGACAGTTCCTTGCCACTTCTTTATTAGCTACATCTTCTTTCTGGCTAATAATAGTTTGTATGGTCATGCATTCATGACCAGCTAATGATTGAAACACAAAGATGTAGGCATGTGGTTATGAATGACTTTCTGTCTCGGTGTAGGCATCTTCTTGTTCCCTCCTTTTTCATGTTGTTACATCCCTACATCCCCTTTCATTTCACAGAAAATGAAATAATAATATTCCCCTTGTTATTATTAGTGCAACTGATAGCACAAGATGCATGCACGCAAAAATGGTAGTTGACTTGTTTGCTTGCCTAAACCTTGCTACCTTATTGTTGACTCGTGCAACTATAGCTAGGTATAAAATTTATAACACCGTGCCGGCAGTCCTTGAATTAAGCAAAGTTTACTTGCCTGTAAGTGATAACACACTTAGAGAGGATGGTAACCACTTTTGGTCCTCTGTGTATAATGTTGTTTGTTCTAGCTAAAACAATGGATCGAGATATCTCCAACTCTGTCTATAGGTACTTGCTGTTGTTGAGTTGTTGGAATGCTGTTCCACAGCAAAGACCAAGATTCTGTGAAATTGTGAGCAAGATTGACGTGATGATGGAGGAGAAGTTTGGGTATCTCAGAATGAACACTAACTGCAGCTAAATGCTCTTCTTGGACAATAGTGGTAGAATACATGCCTTCCACCCCGTTCCTTGACAGTGTTGTACCTTAATATGACCAATCTGCCTTAGATAGGTATATATAGCTAGAGTAATTTTGTATAATGGTGTGTGCCTAAATATCTGAAACCTATAGCTACATTAGCAATTGTCATGATCAGTATGCAATGCTGTTTTGTATATATGCCACAATTGCAAAGCGGGCTCGCTCGCCCATGGCACTGACTATATAATTATTTTGGCGCGAGTCGTCATTTTCGGTGATGCGACACATATACCGTCTACGTCACTCTATATTACGGTAGCAGAGAAGGGCCATTCCATACTTCAGTTCTACACGAACTTCCATTCTTCCATCCTGCCATTCTTCCACTCTTCTGTCCTTCCATCCTCTTATACTCCATACTGTTTTTTTGCATGTGTATTTTGCTTCCCTTGCGCATGCGTACTATTTACGGAGCGTTCGGTGCAGCGCTGCTGATCGATCGCTCCTGTTGTGGTGTCAGAGCCGGTTAGCCACGTAGGTAGAACTGGGAGGCGATAGACGCCCAGCGAATACGGTATATATCAGGCAAGGAGAGCGCGTTGATGGCGTTTTCTGAACGAATCGTTCCCAGTTTTGTGGTGGTGGTGCTGTTGATC